GCCCTCCTCCCCGGTGGCCTCCTTCTTCTCCGGGGGGGCGGTGGGGCCCTGTGCCCGCCCGCAGACATTCCTGAAGAACTCCTGCACGAGGCCGTACTTAGGTGCTTCAGGCTTGGCCCGGCTGCTCTCAGGGCAGCCCGGCTTCCAGATGGACTCAGTGCTGCCTGCGTGATCCACCACGCTGAACAAGCTGGACACGCCATAAGCCATCATTGATATTGCTGAGGACGGGGCTGTCACGGGTGGTCGTGGAGCGGGCCCAGGCAGAGCCGTTCTGCTTGCTCTGGTGCAGGTTCCAGAGGCTCCTGTCCTTGGAGGCATCCAGCTTGGAGGAAGACCTCCTCTGGAGCTTTGGAGAGCCGTATTTTGGGGAGCAGCAGGGCCGCTCGATCCTGGAGTGGACCTTATCCAGGGAGGAGGAGATCTGCTTGCTGCGCACGGACACCAGGGAGGAGCTGCGCGGGGACCAGCTCTTGCCGTGCACGCCGCTGCCCCGCGGCAGGTCAGTCTGCAGGCCGACGCTCACCGTCTGGATGGTCTGCGTCCCCACGTGGGCCAGCCCCACCGTCTGGCTGGAGGCACTTTTCACCTTCCTCTCCAGTGAGCTGGAGCGGATGGCCTGCCGCACGCAGTTGGTGATCTCCTTCATGTCGTCGCTCATGTTGCCGGAGATCTCCAGGTCGTGCAGCGACGGGGGGAAGCGGGGCACCGGTGGCACCACGCTCTCCACCGTGCCGCCGGCCATTTTTGGAGAAGTTGCACAGCCACTGGCTGTAGGTGCTCTCAGCGCTGGCTGACTCCTCTGGCTCCTTCGGCTTGGCCATGGTGAACAAGAAACCGGGTTCGATCATGATCTTCCCCTCCTTGTTGTGCACCAGAGGTGCCTCCAGCCGCCGCACCACCGGTGGGCTGTAGTAGATGCGGATCCCTGTCTTGTCAGGAGCCGTGTAGCTTCTCTGCATTTGCTTCTGGGCTGGGTCGTGCCCGGAGAAGCTGCTTGTCCTCGAGTAGTCCCAGGAGGAGATGCCCAGCTTCTCCTTGGCCAGGCTGTCGGGGGCAGGTTGCTCAATATTCACATATGTACAGTTTGAGGGAGGAACGCCGGCGCTGTCCCGGATCCCGTTGGGCAGCAGCTGGGTGGCCGCAGATGCCTTTCTGCCCCGGGAATGGTCGCCCAGCCCCGAGGTGGTCTTTCCAGGGAGGTAGGGAGAACAGTCGAGCAAGCTTTCGAACTCTGACATGGAGGAAACGGACTTGGTCCTGTGGGAGGAGAGAGGACGGGGCTCACAAGGGGACAGGGCAGTGGGTTGGGGAGCAGCTCCCACCTCATTGGGACCCTCCTGGGCACCCAGTCCTGCTCCTCATAGGAGCCCTTGGCCTCCAGGACAACCCTGAACTATGACTGCATCTTCCCCCGGCTTCCAGGGCTGCCAAGCCCGGGGACAGCCATGTGCAGCCTTCTCCATGCCCCGGGGACCACGCAGGCACCAGTGCGCTCACCTTTTGAGGTTGGTTCCCTTGGCTTCTGCTTCAGAGATTGTCTCTTTGTCCGTGATTTTTTCATTGAGAGCCTAGGAGGACACAGAAGCAAGCTCTGGTGTCAGCAAGCACAGGACCAAAGTACACAGATGGGCCGGAGAAGGGCCTGCACCCTGCTCCTTTCCAGCACTACCCCATGCACCCAGGCCTGGCGTCCCATTCCCAGGGCTACACGGGACTCACTGCACCCACATCTATTTTAAATCAACTTTTTGTAACCCCATGGAAGCCCTTGGGGTTCAGCCACGCTCTCCACCCTCTCATTCTCGCCAGTCCCTGGTGCTCCCCCTTGCAGCCTCATTTGCTGTTCAAGGGGGTGTTATTTGGGGTTCACGTGACCTCCCATCCAACGCTTAGCATAGACCTGGGCCCAACAAGCACCCGGAGAGCCCTCTGCCTTCTCCTGCCCACCTCTTTCCAGTTGCTACCATGCTTCTCTATTTCAGAGTGCTTCAATGCCCACGGGTTGGCTCCTTTCTGCAACTGGAGAACGTGTCGGTCACTCAATGTGTGCAACGTGTGCCCCTCTGGGCAAGCAAAAGCATTTGCCGCTTGCCCCCGGTGTGTGCCTTGAGAGCATTTGCACGCTCTCAGGGCACACATGGGGGACAAGCGGCAGAGGCTGGAGGACACGCTCACGATGGGGGAACACCGTACCTGGTTGATTTTGTTCTGCAGGTCCTTCGCTTGCTGCTCTGCCTGCTGCTGCTCCTCCTTGAAGCGGGCCAGCAGCTCCACTTTCTCCTGGTTCCAGTTCTTCTCGCTGATCTGCAGCTGTTTGGTGAGGTCCATGACAGCGCTGTAGGACTCGGCGAGGAGATGCTGGTGCTCCTCACGCTCCCTCTTCAACGCCACCTTCCAGTCCGGCAGCGTGCGCTCCGCGATCCCTTTGCCTGCCTTCGACTCCAGCTGCGGGGACACGGTGGTGGCTGTGGGGGACCCATGGCTCCAGCGTGGTGCTCGACATCCCCAGCAAAAGCGCAAGGCTGCGGGCACCCTGCTTCCCAGTGCGGGTCCCATGCCGCCCAGGCC